ATATAGTCATATTGATTATAAACAAAAAAACATAGCGTAAAATAAGATATTTGCACATTTTAATCATAATTAAAATGTAAAATTATAATAAATATGTAATGTTTTTGTATGTGTACTTAGAAAGTGAAATATATAACACAAAAACAATACTACTTGATTTTAAGAAAAAAACGGCAAACAGATATAATTCATGTTGAAGGTTATGTAAGGTCATTGTCCTTCGATTATCGATAGTAAGCATTGTATACATCTTATCTGGCGTATTTGTTCAACATTTAATAAAAAAATTAATCTATTTTTTTATCTAATATTACATTCCGAGTGTGCAAACGTTGATCAACAAAAATTCTACTGATAAAATTACTTAGTTACTAAATTTTTCTTTAATGTACATAAATAAATCATTTATCAATCAACTATGCCTTCCACGTGTCTTCTAACTGATTAAAGATCGAATTTCATTTGTTTCATATTAAGACAAAACGATGTCTACAAACATTCAAATTTTTTCGGCATAAGCCAAAAAGATGTACAAGTTTCATTATAGCTTGTACAAAATTATAAATGTTCATTAAAATTTGTCTTTTTTTTACATATTTTAAGTGAAAATACAGAGCAGACAACTACTCCTTTGATCATTTCACAATGTTTAATATATTGTTTTGACTTTATGTTTGTGAGAATAATGTGCCTGATAAAACAGGTCACACATTATCAATCATTTGACACCATTTATAAAGATAGCTAAAATATATAGAGGTTAGAATCCTTCCTGATACTGTTTTGAATCTAATTTCGCTTGAATTACTTCCAATTGCCTCTTTGCTTCACATTGTGGGAAATTTTGTAAATCATAATATTGTGGTGCTATTTTAAGCAACCAATCAGCTGTAAAAAATATAATATTTATAGTATATATAATAAACAAATTTCTTTTATATTATTCAATAATAAAAATATGACTTACGTTTAATATCTGTAACTGTTCTGATATAATTTTTGGTCGTAAGCACAAATTCATTATAAATTACCCACTCAGGTTTATGATCTAAGCAACTGCTTGGATGAAGTTGTACAATTTGATTATCTTTAATAGTTAAATAATGACCAGTCCTCTCTAAATGAGCAACCTAGTATACAAAAGAAAAAAAAAAATATTACATATTAGAGAAATATTTTTCTTGAAAATATTACTTTCAATTATATTTACCTGCATGAAAAAACCGTTTACAAGAGCTTTTCTAATATTAATATAATAATCTTTTGATGTGAACTCTGTTGAAGTACGTTTTAAACAAAATCTATCCATTATTCTACTTAGTTGTTGTCTAACATTATCACCACTTTTTAAAGATCGGTAATTGACGAAATTATCGTAACACCATTGTGGATCTTCGAAATCTATAAAGAAAAAAAGATAAATTATTACAAAGATATATAATAAATTTTAATAAAATACTTACTTTGCTTAAAGGCATGATAGACATTCAATAACGTTAAGTGGTCTCCATCGATATGTGCAAATCGCATTTTAGCATCATCCGCAGCTTTCTTTGATTCATTTGGCCTCACAAAACACTGCGGGACTAATACAATATCAATCATCAATTTAAAACCACGTTACCTTACCATGATCCTGACTTAGTAACTTTCGCTTTTATCGTATTAAAATTAATTTAAACGCAAAACAAGATACGAACCTAAGTATCGTAAAAAGAATACTTTTTAATAATACTGTACCTGACAACATAGCAGTAATGCTCAATATCTCATTACTACAATTATGATTGCAAGATGCGATGAGCATTTTTGCCAATTGTGGATCTAATGGAAATTCTGCCATTACAGCACCCAAATCTGTGAGATTTCCATCATCATCTAAAGCGGCCAAATAATTAAGAAGTTCTAGAGCTCTCATAAGTGTTTCTGGTGCAGGAGGATCCATAAAATCAAAATGTACCTAAATATGTATAATAAAAAAAAAATTATAGAAAAAAATATTTTATAAATATAAAATAATAAATTGATCTCATAAAAATGTAATATACCAAGTCATCAATGCCAAGTTTCTTTAATTGTAATACAACACTACCAAGATTAGACCTTAAAATTTCAGGATAAGTGTTATCTTGCATTTCATTTTTATATGCCTTTTCTGTATATAATCTAAAACATTTTCCAGGTCTTGTTCGACCAGCTCTACCAGCTCTTTGTTGTGCAGAAGCTTTACTAATAGGTGATACAAGAAGAGATTCTACACGGATTCTGGGATTATATACCTGTTAAAAAATATAATGAATCAATAAAATTAATCAAATACATAAAAAGATACAAGATATGATACAAAAAGATGAGAATAATTTAATACCTTTTGCTTTGCAAATCCAGGATCAATGACAAAAACAACACCATCGATGGTTAATGATGTTTCCGCGATATTAGTCGAAACTACTACTTTTCTACCAATAGCACCATTAGGTTTTGTAGGTGGTGTTGGTTCAAAGATTCTTTGTTGAAGATTTGGAGGCAGTGTAGAATAGAGTGGTATACACTTGAGTTCACCTACTTCTGGACCTAAATTATCCATTTCTCGTTTAATTCTTTTACAAGCTTCTTCAATTTCTTCTTGACCAGTTAAAAATAAGAGTAAGTCTCCTACTACTTCTTCACACATATGTATTTGAGTAACAGTTCTGATAGCAGCCTCTAAGTAATCTCTTTCAGGCTCTTGTGTATAAAAAATTTCAACAGGATGAGTTCTGCCAGGTACATTCATTAAAGGTGCATTATCAAAATACTGTTGAAATTTTCCAGCATCTAAAGTTGCACTCATAATCACAAGTTTCAAATCTGGTCTTTGTTTAATCACTTCTTTTAACACACCCATAAGCAAGTCTGTGGCTAAAGTTCTTTCATGAGCTTCATCTAATAATATCACTTGATAAGCATCTAGCATAGGATCTGACATGCCTTCACGTAAAAGCATACCATCAGTCATATATTTCAATATAGTTTTTGGAGAACTACAATCTTCAAAACGAATGCTGTATCCTACTTCTTGGCCTATTTAAAAAATTACCATTAAAAACATACATAAATGCCTTAACTTTTGATTTAAAAAATAAATATTATTTAAATATTATTTAACTTAAAAGAAAATAATACATACCTAATGCAACATCCATCTCTTCCGAAACTCTTTGTGCAACAGACATAGCTGCTACTCTTCTTGGCTGAGTACAAGCAACACCCTTGTTGCCAATACGCATTGAATATTCTACACACCATTGTGGTATTTGTGTAGTTTTACCTGAGCCTGTTTCTCCAACAAGTACAATACATTGATGTTGTGCTAATAATCTCATAAAATCAGCACGGTATTCAAATACAGGTAGAGTGATTCTTTTTTTATAAAATTCATGATATCTTGGTGTATAAGGTAGACTAGTATAAGGATTTATCTGAACTTGATTTTTTGGTGCTGTTGAAGGTGTAGTTGTACTATTGGATGCTGCTGAGCCATCTCTGTGAAATAATATATAAACAATGAAATATATAAAACTAGTTTATTTTATTACTTAAACATTGTTTTATTTATAATAATAAAATATAATATATGTATAATAACATCGTAAAGTAACGAGAGTTGAGAACACTTCATTGGTTATGAAAATCAATTAGATAAAAAACAAATGATTAATTTTAAATTAAAAATTTCTTTAGTATATTTATAATTAACCATAAATTTTATATTTTTAAAATTTTTCTTATATTATTTTTTTTTTCAAAAATATTTCTCATTTGTAAAAAAAGAAATTTAGTTGAGAACCTTTGTGGATGAGTTGACCAAACAAGTCAACAGCAATAGAAATGATTGTTTTATGAATTCAAAATATTAATTTCATAAAATTTTATTATCATATAATCGAACAATTCAACTGAACAATTACATTTACAAAAATTATTTTCAAAAAATGAAATTTATTAAATGAGATGTACCAGAATTATAAAAACTTATAACAATGCACATGGTAAAATATCTTATTGAATATCTTAATTTTTACAAATAAAAAAGAATCAAAGACTTACGCTTTCCGTTTAATATACGGATCCACAACCTCGATTCTCCGTTTTGACATAATTCTTGTCCCTCCGCAGGCAAGCAAAGCAAAATCTGTTTACGAACTTCTACACAAGGCGTCACAAAATGGCAAACTAACAGGCTAAAGCTTCCTGTAATTGTAATCACAAAATACAACGACAGATGGAGCTACAGATACCATAAAATAACTATGAAATAATGTTATACAAGAAATGTAGCTTAAACGCGGGTAATTTCAAATTTACATAAAGGTAAAAAATTTTATTTTAAAAAAATAAATAGTTTTAAGGTAAAAAAGATATTTATTTTTTCATTTATTATAATTAGAAAAAATATAATTAGCTATATCATTAAAGAGATATATTTCTAATAATGTACATTGCTTCATTATCACATCCAAAAAGTAATGTTGATTTATCAATATCAATAGTATTTATTGGCTTATGCATAGCACTATAAAGCGAAGTTACATTAACTTTACCATTTGTACCAATTGTATTTAACCAATGTGTATTTGTAGGATCTAAAAAAAATGATAATTTTTTTTAGTAATTTAAAAAATATATTTTTATAAAACTATTTATGAAACTTACCCAAACTTAACTTTGAATGTTGAGCATTATTCCAATGCCATAATTCACCACTTCCTGAACATGTAAACAAATTTTCTGGTCTATCAGGATGAAAAAGTATTTCACTAACAGTTTTTGCATGAGCATTGAGTTGAGACATTGGATATGTATTATGTCTTAAATCCCAAACTGTTAAACTTCCATCACCACCACCAGCCACTACAATATGTCTTTGAGTTGGATGATGAGCAATACTTGTAGCTTCCGTCTATAAATAACTTTTTTTTTATTCTAATATATACATAATTTTTTACAAATAATATTAGTCAAATCATACTTTTGCTTGATCAGAAAGCATAAATGTTGTAGCAGGAAGATCTTGATCATTTCTTAAATCCCAGACTTTCATATGTCCTCTTATATTTCCTGTAAGTATCTCATTATGTCTTAAAAAATCAATGCAATATAATGAGCAACTATCTGCATCATCTGAAATATAATATATTTATTTTTGAAAACAATATACAAAATAAATATTATAAAAATAAAATATTACAGAATAAAATTCTATAATACCAATAACTCTAACTGGTTGTTTCTGTCCAGCTGTTAGAAGATTAATTCTTCCATCTTCTCCCACTGAAGCTATATCTTGTTCAAATGTGGAAAGTCCAGTACAAGGTGCATAATCATTTGTATTACTATTAAAAAAGAATTTATAAAACATACAATATAAAATAAATAAATAAAAATCTTAATAAAATTTACTCAAATCTGTGTATAAATTCCCATGACATGTGTTCTTTAAATTGAGAATATGGATTTTCATGGATTTGTAACAATCTAACAGTACCAATAGATGTTGACACCACAAAAAAATCTTTCGAAATAAACTGTAAAAATAATATTAATAAAAAAAATTGACAAATATATTCTTCATTAAATAATAAATAAAAACCTTTATTTCAGTTACATCTCCGAGAATTGCATAGGATGAAACGACTGCTGGATAGGATTCGCCATCATCATTCATTTGAAATGTCCAATGCGTTACTTTATTTACCTGAAAAGAAATAAAAAATTCTAATATTGCAATTAAATATATTTATTAATAAATATAATTCAATACAATAATTATATATAATTTATATATATATATATATAACAATGTAATAGGTTAAGTCCATTGAAGATAACCTTACCGGATCGTCCCAACTACCAGTAATAAAATTAGTAGCATCTTCAAAATCTTCGTGTTTCCATCTAATTTTAGAAATTTTTTCCGATACAAATGTACCTTGTACATTTTCACTCATTTTGTTATTAAAATACAGTTTAATTTGGAATATAAATGATAAAAATCAGGATTACCATCCATATATACGCGCGTTTCTACGCGACTATTAAAAAAAAACCGCTAAATGTATTAAAGGAAACTTAGCATCATAACATAAAATGAATGCTTATAATATATATATTATATTTTTATTCCTTTATTTTTAAACATTAAATATGAAAAAATTGTTTTAATTATTTTATTTATATTTTATATATATAATACTGAAGAAATTTATGTATTTAAAATTATTTATTTAAAATAATTTGAATATATATAAAAAAACTTTAAAAAAAGATTCAAGTAAAAATCTAAAAGAATATTTTAATTTTTATATGAAAATTAATTACAAGAGAAATAGGGATTTATCTTTATTTGATAATTCATAAGAAATCTAGAGGACAGTTTTTTGGGGATCATGCTACGAACTACATCTGCATCTTATAGCTATTAAAATTTAAATTGTTTCAAATAATATATTTTATGAATTCTAAAATTTTAAGAATTCTGACACAGTTATTTAAAGATGCTATCGAATCTATTTTTATAAAGACTGGAAATCGAGATATTTTTATTTGAGTAGACAAAATTTCGAATAATCTTAGAACGGATCACTTACAAGATGTCATCGACGGTTTTGTTGTTCTTATATCTGAATATGCTCTACTTAACTTGCTGTGATGTAAGCGTTTCAAGACTATGTAAGTATTAATAAGAAAGCAAAGATTTTAATGTTGCATATTTAAGAATATACATTTTATTTAAAAAAAAATTAAAATCTTAGCCAAAATAAACACAAATTTATCAAGTGATGAAAGTGTCACGGAAACGCAACAAGCATCTTGTAAAATTGCTACGGAAAAATTAGTTACTAGTGCACATGCAAGTATCACGAGAGTACTTACTGGAACTTGCAATACAAGTAAGAAATAATTATTTAATTTTTTTATTTTTTTTATTTAACATTTTCTATCATTTAATTTTATTCGTAAATAACAGAAATGATCGATGAAAAGCTACAAGCTTTAGAAAAAAATCTAACTAAAGAATTGGAAGAAATCAAGATATTACTTTACACAATTCTAGAGATTAAAAAAGACTTGCCAAAGTTAACGAAATTATTCGATGACTATCACGAAGAAAGTGAGATATTAACTCCAAGACAATTTGAAATCGATAACTTCAATAATACGATCCAAAGAATTTCAACGTTAAACGGTTTGTATGCGTTAAAAAGGAAAATTTGAATAAGAGAATTAATAAATTTAATAAATTTATTTCTTTTTTTATATATGATTTATTATTATATTATATATTTTCTCTATATATTTATATAATAAAGGAAACCGTATAAAAGCAAAATCAATATAAAATAATAAAACGGAATACAAAATTTTTGACAATATTTTAATATGTTTCAGGATCCGCAAACTTCTTTTTTTATTATTGGCAAATAAAACATTTTGATGAGAAACTTGCCAATTGGAAAACTGCTCGTTTCATACGCAGTTCAACATTTTATGTAGGCCACAATGGATATGCCATGTACATCAAAGTTACACCGCGATATTTTCCGGACGGTACAATTTTCATAGGGGTCGGATTAACTCGTGGTTACCACGATTCCATTCTTGAGTGGCCATTTCCTTATAAGATTCGTCTCGAGGTAAAACAAATAATTCCAAATTTTATTATCTCTTTTTTTATAAAAATAATCGTTCTCTTATAAAAATAATCCTCAGATTTTAGATCATTCATCCAAGGAATCACAACGAGATCGACGATCACGAATCTGGGATCCATCCATGCTTTGTTCGGAATATTTTTGGGGTCGTCCAAAATTAATTGGAGAACCAGATAATCCAGAATGCGTTGGATTGAGCGTTCCACGACAAATTCTTTTCTATAAATTGCCGTTTTCAATCGATCACTTATCGAGCAATACGAAATATCTTTGGAAGGGAAGTATCACAATAAAGTTAACAATTTATCTTTAGATGATTTTATTTCTGATGATCATATATATATATATATATTTATATATACATATACATATAATAATTTAATCGATAATAATATATTTTTTAATTAATTTTATTTAGTTTTTACTAGAAATATAAACAATTATGTAAAAGAAAAATAAATAGATTGAACTAAATAAATAGAATATTTTCTATCACTGAAATAAATTATTTATTAAAATGAAAGAACGGAAAAATGAAATGTAATAACAAAATAATATGTTTTTTAATATTCCACATCGCGAATAATTCGCATTAATCGTTTATTCAAATGATGAGATTTTACTAAAAATTATTCTAGAGATGATGATCGAATGTCAATTCTTTTGTGAAGAGGCATTCTACCAGATAGATACATCTGTGGAATTCCAGATAATTGATATTCGTTCATGTTTCGAGTAGCTGCTCTTAGCAATGCCTTATAGATAGAAAACGGAAGTCGGATGTTGCCATTTATTTCCAAATCCTGAGAATCAGTTGGATTTTCGTGGAAATTTCTTTTTTTCCCGCATCCTAAAAATAATTGATTATTTTAAATAATTGTATCTTTTGTTATATCGAAGATTAGATTCTTTCTCACCGGTAAATGCATTGCAAAAAGGTCTCTTCATTTTTAACGATTCATCTGTCGTAAAAACATCTAGAAACTGTTGTTCCATCTAACAATTGATTTAATTTCAGTTAATTATTAAAATAATTATTGATGTCATTTATTTTTTTTTGAGATGATGTAATTTACCTTGCTTTGAGATTCTTCAGAATGTGCCACATTCATTAAACATACGAATGTAAGGATACAGCAAATGTAATTGATTATCTAGAATAGATAATCGAAGAGTATTCAATTTGTTTAAATGAAATAAGAATTTCTGTTTTTCTTATTCATTAAACTCATAAGTTAATGAACCGATAATAAAAAGAATGAAAAATTAAGATAAAATCTCAATAATTATATAGATCTACACGTAATTTCTAATAAGCACGTTGATTATATAAGTATCATATGTGAAGCTTTGAAACATGTTAACTGTTATAATCTGCTTATGACTTTAATCAGGTTTGTACTGTGGTTAATTAATGTCGAACGATACTAGCTGGTCGATTATCCCTTCGAGCGATAAGTTCGCCATCCATGCAAATCAAACTTTTTAATTTTATTTTGCAAATATATAATATATCAATGAAAAAAATTGATACAACGTAATGATATGATTCAATAAAAATAACTTGTAACTTTCATTTTATTTTGATAACATCTCAATGAATATTAAAGTTAAAATTTCGTTATTACTTTAAATATTTAAATAGTTTCTCGTTGAAAATTATAATGAGTTAATTCAAATTTTATTATCAATTGAGAAAGCAAATTGAAAAAAATAATGCAGCTTTCCGAAATGTATTAATAAATTAATAAAATTAATAAATAGAAACATTATTATAATAGATCAGAAAATTAATATAATCTATATAAATATACACACATAATCTATATAAATTATATAAATTATATTATCTGAGAGAATATTTTTAAAAACATACGTACAAAAAATATTACATATTTAAATACAATAAATTTTTCTAAGATCGATTTTTATCATGTAATATCGTGAGATGTTTTAAATATTAATAATATTCTCATATACGAAATTACTTTAACAATACTTTAACAAAGAAATTTTTTCCTTTATCGATTAGATTAGAGAATTAACTTATAATTAACTTGTAATATTTTCAAAATTATTGAAAATTTAAACAGCTAAACGAGTTAAAAAAGTTACCTTCATATCGAATGTCTGAACTCTAGAAATCAGCTGCAACTTTGGAGAAAAGATTTGTAGAAACTCGAAAGATTCTTCTTGATTATTTCTCGATTATTTTACTTTCTGTACTTCAAATAAGTAAGTTTCTTGGCTAAAGATTGATATTCACTGAAGAAGTCAAGTCTCCGTATGAGGGATGAAATCGCGCTTCGGCTCTTCAAATACTCATCCCCTCTTTCGTTGTTTCGTTCGAGGGCGTAAATACATGCGCCGAAAGAACGCATGATCATTCATAATAGTCCTCGAAACAGTACATTTAACATCCCTTATACAAATTGTGGATAGTCTAAGATGTAATTTGCAATCTAATCGGTAAGAAATGCAGAAATTATGCATTTGATCATGTTTTGTTTGTAATAATCATGTTTCATCTATTTTAACTATTCATGCATTAAAGATTGAAGTCTATATACATAATATACATATATAATATAAATATATTATATGATATATAAAAATTATCAAATATGAAACAATTTTAAGACATTTTAAATATGTTAAGCAATTAAAAAATAATATCTATATTTTTTTTTATATTATATTACAAGAAATAAAATTCTAAAAAGAAAAGAATAATTTCCCTTTTAAATCTAGTTTCAAAGTAACTTTCTTTTCTAGAAAATATTATCAAAAGCTAAAAGATGTAAATCTTTAAAAAGTATGAAAGGTTTTAATGGTTTTCTACCTCTTATGACGTTATCTCATTTATATCCAACCAAAAAAAATAACATATTATATTTGATAAATATGCAAAAATTGAAAACAGGAGATCGAAACATTATACAACGATCAATGCAAGAAGCAGCTTATGAAGCATTGACCGATAAGAAACTTCGTGTAAATCAAAGGAAAGCAGTCCGGGGTTAAGTACTTACAACGTTTGCACATCAGAACCCGCTGAGTTACGTTAAAGTTGTTCAATCCTTCGTAACTGCGTCTCATTCATCCTCTTTTATTTAAATTTTTAATCATTTTTTTTTTTTTGAATATTTACTCGATTGTATATTAAATACAAATTAAAAAATATATGTATATCGTATAATATATTTCAAATTAAAATATTTTTTAGAAATAAAATATTTTTTTTATATATATTTATATGCAATAAATTTTTTTTTATGTACAATGTTCATTGCACACATGAATTTTCCAAATGAATTTTTTTTATTATAATATTTAATCTATAAATAAAATTTTTTATTAAATTTTTATAAATTTTGTTGTCATTTTTTATGCACTTTCAAAAATATATTTATAATTGAATTTATAATTGATTGTAACTTAATGAATAAGTGATATGTATTAAATTAATATTATTCTTGATATATATATATATATATATCAAGAAAATTTATATATAAAATGAATCATTTTATCAGTATTTCGCTTTGTTAAAAATGCTTACATAAAAATTATATCTAGATTAGATTTCGGTATATTAATTTTGGTATATATTAATTTTGATATATAATAAATAAATATAAATGATATAATTTATTAAAATAAAAAGAAAGAAAATAATTTTCGTACGTGTTTAATATATTATTCAATTAATTGTAATAATCAATAAAATTAATAGAATTTTTTTGAATAAACAACATTTTTACTAGTTACAAAAATACAACCCTCGAATGCCTGGATAGCTCAGTCGGTAGAGCATCAGACTTTTAATCTGAGGGTCCAGGGTTCGAG